GAGGAGCTATTGAGGGCCAATGTCAGCTGCGTGGTTTCTTTCATCACGGATGACCTCGGCCGTGGGGAGGAGCCTGGAGCTCGATTTTCCCCCGTCCGCGATTACCCGAAAAAAGTATAGAGGGAGAAGGGGGAGAGAAAGCGCATACGTCGTTGGCCGACTTGGCGATGTCTCCGAAGTTAGGAACAGACATGATTGCTGATTTTTGACGGGGAAGAGGACTTTGGGGAGAAAATTGAGTAGACAATGGGAAAGCGGTTGACGAGATGCGACGGGCAAAAAGAGGCGGGTTGCAGGTGTCCTTTCAGGAGATGGTCTGCTGGGGCGGAAGCTGTTCGAGAAAATGTTTTGGTTGCATCAATTGGTTGACGGGGATTCCCGGCGCAATTCGGTCCGGAGGAGCTTTGCTGTGACGGAGTCGCACTAGGACGCTTTTGGCTGCACGTGGGGGATCTGTTATTGGTTTGTTGGGATTGTTGTCGGCTGGCCAGCTCAGATGGGACTCTGGAGGACAGGGGATCGTAATAAGGTAGAGTAAAGCACTGAGAGAGTGGATGTCGAATGCCAGCAGTGTGGGCTACCTAAGGCTCAGGTGCTCAATGCGATTTTTCGATTTTGTTCTTTGCTGGTTGTACTCGTTTGCGTGTGTTTGAGTGAATGTGTAGATGGTGAAATCGGGAGCAAGTGGAAGATTGAATTCGGGACAGAAAATAAAATAGGTAGCGAGAACCGGCAGGCGTGAGATTCTTACAGTAAGCCTGAGAGAAGAGGCAGGCACAGAATTATTTCCCATAGTTCCTGCCTCTTTCCGCTGCTTCGTCCCTGTTCGCACCACCGCTCATTCTTCTTCATACGCCTGTCTTTGTGGTGTAACTCAATTACTCCATTGTGTCACCTCACCTTTTGACTGCCGACTCTGTTGTCCATCATTTTCACTGTTCATATTGGGGGCCAACCGAGTCACTGTGGATGCTCATTTGGCCAGTTACCGGCACTGCGCTAACATTCCCGGGCAATCACACTCAATCATTGTTGCACACAAAGTGGACTCTTGGATGGAAGAGGTCAATGGAAGTTGGGGAAGGCTCTGGGATGTTGCTTTCCCTCGTAAGCTCCAGGAACCAACACGACAGGCCAAGACCTGATTACCTATGGAGAGGAACACAGAGAAGAAAACGGCCAGAGATACCTTCATCAGACTTTTCGTCCTAGTCACGAATACAAATACTCGCAAAGGCGCAATGGCAAATAGTAATCGCAACTTCCATTCCCATTTTTGAGACTCTAAACTTGTTGAGGGTCTACATAATCCAACAAACCAGGACGCCTCTACCTTTACCCGCCCGCATTGACGTAAAGTGCTAGGATACAGGTTGTCTTTCCTCCAAATTACCACTTTATGCGGCGTTCTCGTACTTCTGCTCGTGGACGGCAATAGCTCTGTCATGCAACGGGTCAGCAAACTGACTTGGCCAATTCATTTTCACTGGGGAACTGAGGAGAGGGGGGCGTCTTGTGACTCACCTGCCACTGGGGTCCGTCTGCTTGGACCATGTGGGGGTCCAGCGCATGACAGTCGAGGCACAATGCGGCGGGAAGTGCTCGTCGAACATGAGGCGGTACCAGTATCTGTCAAATCGTGTGTCAGCGGCGCCTGATCTTTCGCAAGAACACAAAAGGGATAAATTTTGGACGAGTCTTACGCTTCCTTGGTGTCCGGAATGTCGCTGCCCCACTCCGGCTTGGGGTTCTTCATCATCTCGTCGGTAACGTGGAGCTCAGCCGTGTCCTTGAGACCGTCGATCCATCCGTATCCGACACCGTCAGAGAACTGCTCCTTTTGTCTCCACAGAATGTTGTCCGGGAGGTACGGCTCGGCGCCGGGCTCGTCGGAGGTGTCGAACGCCTTACGGAGGATGTACTTCTCCATCTTCTCCTTGGTAATCATTTTCTCTGCGGGATCGATGTTCATGCAGGCCTCAAGGAACTACAGGAAATACAAAGTCAGCGAAGCCCAAATTTCATCGGGGTTTGCACTCTACTCACCTCCTTGTCCAAGAAGGGCACACGCGCCTCAAGACCCCAAGCGGAGGTGGACTTGTTAGCGCGCAGGCAGTCGGCAAGGTGCAGGTTCTTGACACGGCGAACAGTCTCCTCGTGGAACGCCTTCTTGTCGGGAGCGGCGTGGAAGTAAAGGTAACCACCAAAGATCTCATCACTTCCCTCACCACTCAGAACCATCTTGATGCCCATGGCCTTGATCTTACGGGAAAGGAGGTACATCGGTGTGGAGGCACGGATAGTGGTGACATCGTAGGTCTCGAGGTGGTAGATGACGTCGGACAGAGCGTTAAGTCCATCCTCAATCGTGAAGGTCATGACATGGTGCTTGGTGCCGAGGAACTTGGCGACCTCGAGGGCAGCCTTGTTATCGGGCGATCCAGGGAGACCGATAGAGAAGGAGTTGAGCTGGGGAAGATATGTGACTGTTGACAGCTTGTTGTCGTCGTCGATACCAACCATGCCATCGCCAGTGTCGGGGTTCTCCGTCATGGGGAGCGCACCACCGTTGGCCTCGAGGGCCGCCTGCTTCAACCGCAAAGTCTCTCTTTGGGCAATGGCCGCGACCAAACTGGAATCCAGACCACCGGACAACAGGACACCGTACGGTACCTCAGCCATGAGTCTCTTTCTGACCGACTTCTCAAGCTTCTCGCGGATCAACTTGAGGTCGAGGGGGGTCTCGGGGACCTTTGCGGCGTCCCACCAGGTAGGCTCGAAGTATCTTGTGGTCTTGCCGGTGGCAGAGTCGTAGATGTGACCAGGCGGGAAGGCCTCAACCTTGTCGCAGACGCTGTGCAGGCACTTCAGCTCGGAAGCAAAGTACACCGCATCAGGCTCTTTTGAGGACCAGCCGTAGTAGAGGGTGGTGATGCCGATGGGGTCGCGGGCGGCGATTGTGCGGTCCTGCTTCTTATCGTACAAAACAAAGGAGAACATGCCGTCGAGGTGTTTCGGGGCATCGAGACCATACTCCTCATACTAGGATACGTTAAACATCCATGTCTACTATTGTGGGTATCAGGTCGCGGGGTGATCTTGACTCACCAGAGGGATGACGACCTCGCAATCGGAACCGGTCTTGAAGTGGTATTTGTGCTTGAGGGACTTGCGGATCAGACGGTGGTTGTAGATTTCGCCGTTGACGGCAAGGACGATGCTCTCATCCTCGTTGGTAAGGGGCTGGGCGCCGGACTCTGTGAGGGTGGTTAGCCATGGACATTGTAGCCAGGTATTGAGGGTGAACATACCGACGCCGACGATGCTAAGACGCTCATGGCACAGAACTGCGATGGATGGTCAATTGATGGAATACCAATCGTCGAGATCAAGTTCAACCTACTCGTCTTGTTGGAAATGACGCTTCCGCCTGTGCAAGGGAGTTTTGTCAGTTGTCTGCTTGGTTGGTGCCGAAGTAGCGCATCGCGGTGACTCAGAACTCACTCCAATCGGGGCCACGGTGACGGATGCTGCGAACTGGGAGTCAATTGATGCGCCTTGCAGATGAACGATAGAAAACTTACGCCTTTGCCAGCTTCAAAGCCGTAGGCTTGAACTTTTGGACGTCGGGGTGACTGCGCGCGCACACGGTCAGTCGCATTCTCCAGAGGCATCATGGCGGGGTTAATTTTTTTTGGGGAGGGGAGCTCGCGCTGCCCCTCCATCCGCGCCGAAGTAGGGACGATCTCGCAGTTGGGCTTACCGGTGACAAGCGAAAATGCCACACATGATTGCAGTCTCTCGAAGCTACGGCAGTGTGTTTGTGTATGTGTATGGGATGAACTTTGCAACTCAAGAAAAGGTAGAAGAGGCGAAAGACGTGTCCTGGGAGAATAAATACGGAGCAAGAGGTGGGAGCAACCGGGTGAAGGGGTGGGAGCGAAAGAATTATGACTCTTCCTGCGCTTCACCCAGTTTTTTATTTTATCGTTATTTGTTTATGACCTTAGTTACCCTTTCCATTTGCCGCAACGGCCCCAGAGAGTAAGGTACCTACTTGGAAGCATTGGACCGCGCTTCTGATACAATGACATCCCCCCTAGCACCTGGCTCATCCGACAAAAAGCCCAGCCCTGACACCCGGTACTTTACCAAGCTTGGGTTGTCGGAGGCCGTAGCCGGTGCTTCGATAAGGGTCGGAAACGTCAGGGCCGTCTACAACTCTGTGCCAAAGTATCCCCAAGGGTTGTCAAAGTGTGCCAAAATTGCAGGTCCGCTGCGACGGAACCACAGTGACTGGCCGCATCTGCACGATACGCTAATCTGCTGCGCTGCGCTAGTGTAACATAGCTGGTCCCCTGGGCCGATCTCGGCTCTCGCACCCATTGGCGGACTGGCCAGTCAGAGTTCACCAGTCTCCCAATTACCTAACCTTGCCGACTGATAAGAAACTGCATCGTGCCCAGCCACCAACGAGAACGCAGAGCAACGAGTCGGTGTGGTTCTGCCGTTTGCTGTTTGCTGCTTGCTGTTAATCTGTTCTTCCGCGACAGCCCACATATGGTGCCACGGAGACGCCTTCTATCTGCGAAGCTGCAGTTCTTGACGCTGCCGGGCATACTTACCTCACTTAGCTCGGGATGAAGTCTTCGACTGGCGGGAAAACGAGGCTTTCGGGAGCCCGTGTCTTTCACCGTTTGGTAATAGGCCCGCTCCCATTGAGTCCTGACTCTTCCAACCCCCGACTTACTCGTCACCAGTGTCAGGGTTCCGGGTCTCATGCCAAGCAAGCTATTGTGGAGGTGCGCTCGTCCGACACAACAGCCCGGCGGCATTAGTTCCGGTGGAATATCCACAGCCGGCGGCTTTCGACGGGTAATAAAATGAGCCTCCCACCACGGGCTGGTGGGGTTTGGAATCACCGCCAAAAGAGTCATCATTACCTCCCTGCGTGCCAGGCTCGTGTAGTCGATTCGCATAGTACGTCTGCTCGTCTTTCCAAGCACTCAATTGATGCATCTTGCACGCAAATATCCTATTCAACAGATCAACAGCTGGGTTGTGGGTTGAATGCCCCCCCTGTTTGCTTCCCTCACAATATCATTATTGCATTGTCATATGACATATCGAAAGCAGAGAAGCAGACCGTATGGTATTCCCGTAACTCCGAAGTCCTGCCTATTGGCATGACGCTGTGATCTCGTAATTCTATTCACACATAGCTGCCTTTGCTCCTAAGGCGCCGGGTTTTCTCTCACAACGCGCTTGATGCGCTTCTCGTATTCCGCCTTGTCCTTCTTGAAGAGACTGTAAGCCTCAGCCTGAGCGGGCGACTCGGGGTTGGGATCGTCGAGCAGGTTCTGAATGCCGAGCAGGATCTGCTTCACCGTAATGGCAGGCTTCCACGCCTCCTCCTCGTTCAAGATCGACAGGCAAACAGTGCCGGAGGGGTAGACGTTGGGATGGAACAGCGGAGGGACAAATTTGCCTTAAGAACTTCTGTCAGTCTACGGTATAGTTGCGAGCTTAGGGGTGCTTTCAACTCACACTTGGGTGGCTTCGTTGGGTACTCTGTTTCGCGCAGAACTGTCAGTAACCGGCTTTCACTCCACTGTCATTTCTCTGGGTAACATACCTTCGGGGAATGTGATTGTCAACTTGAACAGGCCGCCCTCCCAAATCGTCTTCTCCTTGCCAGGAATACCGCACTCCCAGACCTTCAGGTCGAGGGTTCCAGTCGCCGCATTACGCTGAGGCTTCGCGAAGAAACCAAAGGGGTGGTCCTTGCGCCACTGCTTGCTATAGCACAGCCAGATCAATTAGGCATTGGTCGTAGGATCGGGGTAGCTGAACAACATACCGCTCCTCTTGAAGTCTGTTCTGGCAAAGCGACATCGTGAAGAAGTGTGATCGTTGCTTAAAGTATATGTGTCCGAAGTCGCGTGCGACGTCTGGCTCGCGTGTCGCAAAGGTTGCGGTTGTGCACAATCGGGACGATTCTACCTTCGTATCGGGCCGTGGTTGAGGGATCGAGGCGTTCGAATGGCGGAGATGTCGTAGAACGGTCACGCCAGTCGATGTAGAAGAGAAAAGCGGTAAGGCTGGGGGGGTTCCGAAGATAGTTCGGTGTGTAAAGGCAAAGCCGCAGCGAGTGGAAGTCGTCAACGAGTTACCTGAGGTAAGGCACCTTGCACTTGCCTCACTGAATGCGCCGCGTTGGAAGGCGGAAGATTTTCGGGGTAAGGGTACGTACCGGTTCCGATCGACCAACGGATGGAAGCTGTGAGACCTGGTAAACGTGAGATGCCGCGGTACCTTCCGCAGGAGCTCAGGGCAGTTGGGACTCCTGGAGGGGGGCGGCTGGGGCGCGAGGCGGAACATCAGGTCGCCCAATGGACAAATGGGAGAAAGGACCCCGCCCTAAACCGCGTTAGTCCAGCGGCGCGGGGTGCTGGGAATCTGACGTGGGGCTAATGGACCTGCCCAGATGCAAGACAACCCAGGAGCTTCAGGCCGATTCCTCGGCTTTCATCTGACAGTCCATCTTTCTGCACGTACATACAAAGGTGATAATCCCAGCCCAGTGCGACTGTCAACCTTGGCCCAACCCTTTGGAGGCTGTCTATCAACTGCAGCGCCCCGAGGCTCCGGTTCCTGTCGCCTCTATACGAATGCGCACTGCAAGATACCTTTGTCAAGACTGAACCCAAGCGCCTTTGATTTACTACAGCACGCATCGTGTTCGGAAATCGCATCTTGAGGCACTCTGCAAAGATGGAGAAGGATGGTAGCGCAGCCGGCGCCGGCAATGCCGAGGCGAAACCCGTGGTACCGCCAGTGGAAGAGACAAAGCCTACAACTGTTGTTGAGGATGTTCCTGATCCCGATGAAGACGACTTGGACGACTTGGATGGTGCGCCCGCCATACGGAACCATCTGCGGCCTATTGGAATATGCTGACTCTGCTAGACATGCTCGACGACTTTGCTGCCGTGAATGTGGAAGCGAAGACAGCAGCACAACCTGCTGCGTCAGCTGCGAAGACTACCGCGGCTGGGCCAGGTAGACCCGCGACAGCTGTGGAAGATGATTCTGAGGACAAAACACTGGAAGAGATGCTGTCTTCCGACGATTTCGCTAAGCAGCTCCAAGCTGGCATGGCTGACCTGATTGGAGAATTCGAGAAGAATGTGGGAGACTCCCACTGCTAGCCGACTCCAACACGAATGCTAACCACTTACCATAGCCCGAGATGCAAGCACAATTCGACAACGTTTTTAAGCAGATTAGTGAAGCTGCGCAAGGAACGGAAAACCTTGCCGAAGGCACGACCGGAGCAAAAGCGCCGCCACCGCCAGCGTCAGCTTCATCTTCAAGCAAAGCTCCCGTTTCCGACCCCATTGCCGACGGTTCCTTCCAGGAGACTATCAAGAAGACCATGGAACGCATGCAAGCATCGGGACAACAGGCGACTGCAGCCGCGGCAGAGTCATCCACCGAAGATTTCCTCGCAGAGATGATGAAGCAACTCGGAGAGGGCAACCTCGAAGGCGGCGGTGGCAACGAGGAGGAGTTCTCAAAGATGCTCATGGGCATGATGGAGCAGCTCACTAACAAAGAAATCCTGTACGAGCCTATGAAGGAGCTCAACGACAAGTTTCCCGAGTGGTTAGCGAAGAACAAGGAAAAGACGCCAGCAGAGGATCTCAAGCGGTACGAGGAGCAACAAGCGCTAGTCAAGGAGATCGTGGCCAAGTTCGAGGAGAAGACGTACGCCGATTCCAACGCGGCGGACAGGGAGTACATTGTGGACAGGATGCAAAAGGTTTGAACCCCTCTAAATTTGGATCTTCACGCGCTAACAGGAGACAGATGCAAGCTGCTGGCTCACCTCCATCTGATTTGGTCGGTGATATGCCATCAGCACAAGAAGCTTTCAGTGCAGACGAGGGCTGTAATCCCCAATAATTGGACATTCCGATGGAAGTCCCGTCAAACATGTTCCTACACAACCGGTGCCTTGTCCCGTGAGCCTGCATATACACAGTAGCCATTCGTGGCATATTCCGACCGCCGTTTAATGCCAAACGCCAAATAGCAACCCCCAGACCCCGAAAGCCAAATAGTCTCGTAAAAACGCCGCAAAGCAAATAGACCAGCCGTAATCAACGCCATGTTTTCATGACATGTCCATATCTTGTGAGGACGCGTCTGGCTGACTGCTTTCCTGTGATACCAAGTTCATGAATAACGAGTCGTAATCCTCGTCGTCTGACAGGCCGTATGGATCTGACTGCATCGTTTGCGAGGAGCCAGACTCGGGCTGCGCATCAGACGACTGGTCGTAGGAGAGCAGTAACGCATCAAGCTCGTCCTGCTCGTCCTGGGCGATGGCATCAACCATCATATCGTCAGCGTCATCGGGGATGCGTTGCACGCGCTCCTGGAGAACAGATGCTGCGTCCTCGATATCTGCTTCGGAAAACACCGCGTTGCCTTCAATTTGCTTGGCATAATGCCGTTGCCGCATATCGCGATCCCAGTCAGACTTGAGAAGCTGTCGGATACGTCAGTACGCGGTATCACAGTCAATAACACCTTCACATACAGTGCCCTCCATGTCCCGCCGCTGGTATTGACGATCATCCGCGCGCTGCCTCACGTTTTGGAGGAACAGCTTCCGCCTGCTCTCCTGCGCTTCCTCGCGTTTCCGAACTATCGGGTTCGGTTTCGTAGCTCTTGATGCATATTTGAACTTTGGTTGAGGGATAGGTGAGGATTGTGTGTGGCGTACGGTGTTGTCATTGATGGGCGAGAGGGGTGATGACGCGCGAATGGGCGATGAAGAAAGAGGCGATGGGACCGTGGGCCTGAAATCCCACGTCCGGTCGCTGAAGATGGGTACGGGCCCGGCGACGGAGAACATTTCGGAGCTTTGGCTGACGTCTGGTGTCTTGTTTTGTTGCATAGAGTTGATATCGCGAGCGAATGAATGATGCTTGTGTGCAAAGATGAGTGTTGGTTGTTGGTTGTGCTAGCCTCAAGGTGTCGAACTCTGGAGCTGAGGCTGTAGATGCAGTTGTCGCCTCTGGCAGGTTGCTTAATTGAATCACGGCGCGGGAGGGTGTCATTGAACGCGACCTCAACGCGGTTGAACTAAAGATGTTTTGCGCCACAACACATGTGGCTTGGAGCGGTGACACGTGAAATCCACTTTTGAAGGGTCCCCTGCCGGTCCAGTGACGGATCATGCAGAAACAGTTAATTACGGTTTTCTGGGCTGGGCCTCTGTCCCGGCGGTTTCCGAACGGACCCCGAGGTAAGGATAAACGTGGCGCTCGACGAATGAAAGCGAGCGTCTAGAGCGCCACCGTTCCCCTAGACCCCAACGATATGGCAGGCGCAGGCGCAGGGCCAGAAAGATAGAGGAAGAAAAAAAAAAAGTCCAGAAGAGTTGACTGACGACATGACATTCGACTAATCGGCTCTGGACCGCCCCCAAAGCGACTCGATCCCTTGAAAACCGACTCCACTATCTGTAGCGACTGTTGGGAAAGTCCATGTCGAGACACGCCTCTTTGCAAAGGCAAACACCAAATCCCAACATAAACTCGTAGAATGAGTGTCGGTGCAGACAGTTCTACTGTTTGTCTTATCGTCGGCGGTAGTCGGCCAGCGTCCAGATGAAAGCCTTTACCGCCTTCTCGCTCCCATTGCGCCGGCTTGCCACTCGACGGCCTTGGACATGCTCCAACTGTCGTGGAGGCCCGTTGGCGCAACAGTCCAGCCGGACACAACAGCAACAACAGCAACGATTTAGCAACACCGCACGCGGGTTCTCTTCCACGACCACGAAGGTCGCGATCAACCGGGCCGCACCGAAGACTGGCGGTGGTAAGAAGGGTGGTCGCGTGTGGCTTCTTGCTTCAGGCGGTGGCGCTGCGACAGCGGGTGTCCTTGCGCTGGGCGACGATATCAAGTACGGCTACGATGCGGCAGAGCGAGCAGGCCGTGTTGCGGCTGCGCTTGCAGTATGCATTAATGAGTAAGGAGAAACCCTTTCAGAGAAGCACACCCTCAGGCTGATCTTTGCTAATACAATTGCAGCTACCGAACGACTCTCAACCAGAAGGAAACGATTGACGACCCCGAATTAGCAAACAAAATTTTGAAAGACTGTCACCAGCGATGCGCCGATCGAACACTAAAGGTCTTGGAAAAGAACGGTGGGATCTTCATCAAGTTGGGCCAGCACCTTGTAAGAGTCCCCCTATTCTGATACTTCTTGTATTTCTGGAGACTAATACGCCCCCAAGAGTGCGATGAATTACCTCCTCCCGCAAGAGTGGACAAACACCTTCATCCCGCTACAAGACAAGTGCCCCGTCTCGTCCTTCGAGTCGATTGAGGAAATGTTCCGCAAGGATACTGGAAAAGAGCTGTGGGACTACTTCTCCGAATTCTCAAACGAACCGATTGGTGCCGCATCTCTGGCTCAAGTACACACCGCTACAGTGAAGGACACCGGAATGCCTGTGGCTGTCAAAGTACAGCACCCAGGACTTGGCCAGTGGTCTCAACTCGACCTCGCCTTGACACGATTCACGTTCTCTACGCTCAAGCGTTTCTTCCCGGAATACGATTTGGAATGGCTCTCGAAAGAGATGGATATCTCGCTGCCGAAGGAATTGGACTTCAGAGAAGAAGAGCATAACGCTAATCGTACGAGGGAACACTTCGCCAAGCTGCCCGAGCACCCCCTCGTCGTTCCTGGTGTTCTCTGGTCGAAGGAGCGCATTCTGGTCATGGAGCGGGTATCAGGACACCGATTAGACGACCTCGAGTACCTTGACGCCAACGGTATTGACCGAGACGAGGTTTCCGCCTGTCTCGCTCGCGTTTTCAACGAAATGATCTTTGGTCACGATGCACCCTTGCACTGCGATCCCCACGGCGGCAACCTGGCCATTCGGAAGAACGAGTCCAGGCGCGGCCTCCGAGGCGGGCACAACTTTGACATCATTCTCTACGACCACGGCCTTTACCGCGAAATCCCCCGCGACCTGCAGCGCTCCTACGCCAAGATGTGGCTCGCTGTCATCGACGGCGACATGAAGCGTATGCGCAAGTACGCGAAGGAGGTGGCCAACATCAACGACGAGCAGTTCCCCCTTTTCGCCTCTGCCATTACAGGCCGCGACTGGAGCGTCCTCAACAGCGAGGGCTCCGTCCTGCAGACGCGCACCGACGACGAGAAGAAGGAGATGGGCGACGCACTGCAGGAAGGCCTGATTGTCGACCTCGTCCAGCTCCTCGGCCAGGTCCCGCGCATCATCCTCCTCATCCTCAAGACCAACGACCTCACCCGCAGCCTAGATGAGAACCTGCACACCCGCCAGGGTCCCATCCGCTCCTTCATGATTCTCGCCCGGTACTGCACGCGGACCGTCTTTGAGGAGCAGCTCGAGGACCTGAAGCAGCGGGGATCGCTACTGTGGCCGCCGAATACCTTCCGCCTCATGTCCGCGTGGATCGGCTTCTTGAGGGTGGAGCTCAAGCTTGGAGCCTTTGAGTTGTATTTGAGCGCCAAGAGGGCGTTGGGTTTCAAAGGCGTTGAGTTTGCGGCTCCGGGCATGTGATTGTATTAGATACCTGCACATATGTAGAGCTATAGACTTGTAATTTGGCTGTTAGATGAATGTACTAGATAAAATTTCCATGCCTTTCTGCTTCCCAAACCTTGCTCTTTTAAGCCGTGAGTCTACATGTAAATTGCCCTGCGACTGGTCCACCTGCGGCAACAATTCCCAAGCAAGAAGACATACGGGGGGTTCCAATCGGTATTGCACATACCGTTGTCAAGAAAAAAAAACCCGAGTTGCGCGCTACAGCTACGAGGACTTCAGTGAAGTACACAAGGACATGGAAATGCTCGCATCGGTGTACATGTTTAAAAAGAACATGATCAACTAATATCCTTTACTGTTTACTGGCTGGGATGAACGAAGCCATCACACCGCCAAAACATTGTACCAGTGTATATGTGCTATGACAGTTCAGAGGTTGCAATGACATTGGCTTGCTCAGCCAATGGTTTAGGTAGGTTGATCAATGAATACCCAGTGTATAAAATTCAACAGTAAATATTATTGGCTAATTGAACCAGTAGCATGTGTATGGTACATCTCACTGTGAAGTTGTAATCGTGGAAGGGACTATTGAGTTTGACAGTGTTCTCATTATCGCCTGCATGCGCCAGACTTGTTGACTAGACTAAGATACAACGCTCGACTCTTTCATATTCGCTGGCCAGGTCCATCCCAAGCGATAAGGTGGGTATCGGTTCATAAACATCATTTACATGTTGTCAAGACGCTCCTTGGCAGACTCCTTGGCCTCATCGGAGACGTTGGGGTTCTTCAGGGTACTGAGAATTACATGTTAGCAACGATTCTAGGCTTGATGCTCTAGCAAGGGTAAGGATACTCACGCCTTGAGGCCACCGGCAACGTTGCCAGGGTTCTTCTCCTCGTTGTCGCCAGCCTTGGGGACATCGCCGCCGTTGAACTCGTTCTCGAGGATCTTCTTGGAGTTCTGCTTGGACTCCTCAGAGGTGTTGGGGTTGTTGATGTTGGCCTTGTGGCCGCCGGCGATCTGAGCTTCGGTAGGCATGTTGAAGGTTGGTGGTTGGTGATTGAAATTGGGAAACTGGGTTGTTTGCTGTCAAGCTGTTGGTAGATGAGATTGATTGATTGATTGTTGTTGTGATGATGAGAAGAAGGGAAGTATGTTCCAGAGGTGTTGGATTACCTCCTTCTTATACATCTTTTGGACTCATCGAGATGGAATCTTGTGACCTAGGTAGTCGGGCTCGAGCTGCAGGAGAACAAACACAGCCAAACAAAGCAAAGATTCAGTTCAATCCACTGACCGCCAAGAGAGCTCGTGGTGCTATCCGCATGTGTTGGAGCGGGTAGCTTCGACGTAATTCATGTCATCATCGAATCTGCCCCTCATGTACATGGCGTTTTCACTTCGACATTGGTAAACTGCCCATGGTACCCGAGCAATTACGATACGGACCTTGTGAAAAGATACATCTTTCTCCAACCCCCTTTGCATAAGGGAAAGAAGTAAGACGTGGAATCGACTCATCCGAGCTACGGCAAGGCTACCGGGCCAACGACCGAGCGGTCTGAACTGTATGGACCTAGTGCCGGAAGCTCCCTCGTAATCGAGTGACATTTCCCCCTTTCGATCATTGATGAGGAAAAGTCATGACGTCCTTGGTTTTCCTTCTAGTAGTATTCCCATAGAAGAAGAACATCGTCTCAGCAGACTGAGCGAGATCGAGATGATCTAGGTCGGTGCGTCGTGGCTTGAATGGTGTTGCATGTTTCTTATTCCGCTATGCCCAAGCGGTCGTACTTTGCGTGCCTGGAAGGAGGTTTTAGACATGACTTTCCGTAAAGAGGCACACGTTGTGAAAGGGGGCCGGCGCCGGGGCGAAAGTTGTGGGGGAGGGGCGGGAAGAGAGATGATAGATCGGTCTAAGAACAAGCTACTGACTGTGACACGGTGACAGCCTCAAGGTCGCAGCTTCGTGTAGTTAACATGGTTGGTGGTATTGGTTAAGGAAACAGCAGTGCCAGCCCTACAATCCCCTACGACGTTACACTTTACAATTAACGGGAGACGCGGGGTTGGGGGAGAGCAAAGAGACGGACGGCACTAGGGGAAATCGGTTCATGCCCGTCCGTCCGCCGCCGCCCCTCCCATCTAGGTATTCTTCCGGTCGTTGAGGAGGGACGAAGTCAGATCGATCGATGATGCTAGTGGGGAAACGGCATAGCAAAGGGAAGGAAGCGTAGCAAATACTCCGGGCGGAGGTTCTTTGAGGAAGTGATCAAGCGGGTGTTCGAGATGCGGCGGCTCTCTGCAGGAGCTTGGAGCTTGGGTAACCTCAAAGCGAACCAATCTGGAACCGCCCTTTGCTTGATCGAGGCTCAAACCACCATGCTAGGTACGGTGAGAGGCATGTAGGTAGATCGATCTGATTTAGGCTGCACTTCTCAGCCGCCCAACCTTGTCGTCATGACCGAATACTATCGTCATTACTTGAGCGGAAGAAGAAATGAAGACTTAATGCTCGGTGCACTATTACAGGCAGTCAGCTAACTCCCAGCGGCAGTTCTTCAGTCAATTGGCATCTATTGGACATTGTCATGAGAATGCCAATACCAACTGAGTGCATTGGCTTGTAGAGCTTCATCCAGACGAGGTTCGCCGTGGATAGCCTGACCCAGTGACGAGAACAAGAATGAGATGAAATGCTGATGTAATGGGTATCTGACACGGCCAAAGAGCAAATCCGATTGTCAAACCCCCGCCAAAACGGGCAATGTGAGATCGAAATCTGACATGGTAATCTGGGAGAGGAATGCAAGGTACCGCTCCAGGCCCAAACCAAAGCTTGCCCAGATCCAGCCTCCGCGAAGGTATTAGCCCGAAGCAAATGGCATCAAAGACCGCTTCTAGACCGTGCAAGGGGCCGAAATGTGCGGGGGGGCTGTGGCCTGTGGGGAAAGCTGATCTTGTGCTCATCTTGTGAGTCTGTCTGCGTTTGCAAAAAATCGTGCGTTTTAGACAATCCCATCATTACAAAGCTTCGCCCGTACGCTAAGAGCATTACGGCGTGGTGCCGCTAGGCTGGTGATGCGGCTGCGAAATAGGGCCAGGAGGTGATGATTCATCGGCTTTGGTTGGTGATGTCAATGACTGGTCGAGCTAGGCCGGGCCAAGACGCGAATATGCATATTGCGGAGAGCACAGACTCCTCGCCGCAGGAGCTTCTTGTCCGAAGGGAATGAGGGGAGATGCAATGATCTTTGCGTAATGATCGTCAGGGGAAGGAAAATGTAAGAAAATGTGAGATGCGGGTGGATTCATAGATATGTATGTAGAACCGCGGAGCTTCTCATTCACGTTGAGAGCTCTGCTGTTCTCATCCTCTCTTATCTTCTCTTCCTCCCCTCGCTAGACACTTGTTAGTCGTATTGGGCCGCCGGGCACCCATCTCCAAGGAATCAACCCGTTTCCATAAGTTTGATGTCCTAGTGCATTCAGCCAGCCATTGGAGACATAAGACTCTCGTCGGTGTTGACTTGACACCAATCATTCAACTTCTAGCCATGCGCCGCTTGTAAACACGAGATACTCAACTGCCCGGCAGTGAGTAGATTATAATAGTCATGCTACTCAGTGTCGTCTACCGATGCTGCTCGTGTGACCGGCGCATCAGCCGCAGGATGAGATCCATTGTCTTGCATACGTGTAAAGGACCATCGCGGTACCAGCAGCGAATGGGATGAGGATGGAGATGCTTGCTGCTCCTGACTGAGTCGTCCGCCGGGTCATGTCGCCCACAACCCGTTGGCTGCGGGTAGCCACTCAATTTTCGACTAATGCATCGCGTCTGTTTCCGAGTGAGACAATTCGGTCTGGCGTGAGATTTCCACCTCTACAGCTGTTTCTACACAGAGTAGAACTACCCTATTAAGCCCAAATTCGTGTTGCCAAAAGTCCCCGAGCTGTCTAGGATCTGACTAAACCATTGCGTACCTAGAAGGGAGAGGTAAGCCATTGTAGCAAGCCAGATGATTCTGTTTCTGCAGCATCGTGAGAGGCCTCTTCACCGTCTTCACGATGATTGCTATTTTCGGTGACGATGCATCTTTCAGGTGAAGTCATTGGAAGCGCAAGTGTTGTCCGCGCCAAAAAAGCATCGAACGAAGTCGGTGAGGTCAGCCGCTCGGCTAGTGCCGCCGCGGTGCCCATGTCAGATCGGACTTACCGTCCAATCACCACTCCCAGCGCGGCTGTCAAGGATGAACGTACCCACCCTGCCGCGTGGCTGAGCTGAGGCTTCGCTCGGGCCCCTGCCCATCCCCAATCCGACTACACACTATCCCGTCCCAATTCCCCGTCTTCCGGACCGTCGGCATCCCATCGCAAACCAAACCAAACGAAACTCTCCTGCCCGTCAATTCTCACAATCAACATTCAATAGAGCCTCAGCTGATGTAACCACACCTCACTCCAAATATCGAAACGAGGCTGAGAAATCGAAACACCACACCCGCACGCACACAACACACACACATCACTGCCGGGCTGCCCACCCTTCCTCCTTCAAAATGACATCACCGGACGCCCCCGAATCCCAGCCTGCAGCCATCAACTATGTCGCCGGCTTCCTCCTCGTCGGCCTGGCGTGGGGCTTCACGACCCCGTTTATCCGCCGCGCCGCAAAGGACCACAACCCGCCCCCGCACCCGGTCCTCGACACCGACGCCGTCAAGAACAGCTGGCTCCGGAGCCGGGTGTACGGCGCCTTCTTCGGCGTTGTCGATCTGCTGCGAAACCCGCGGTATGCCGTGCCGCTACTGATTAACTTGACCGGAAGTGTTTGGTTCTTCCTACTCATCGGGCAAGCTGGTGAGTACTTTCATTTCCCGCCCTTTATTCAAGCGCAATTCCTTCTGGAGTGAGGTAGAGAGAGTAGGAGAAAAGAGTCTTGTGAATAACGGCAAATGTGCTAGAATTGAGTTTGACGGTCCCCATTGTCAACACCTTGGCGTTCCTCTTCACTGTCATTGGAGACTGGTGGGTTGAGAAGAAGGTCATCAGTCGAGGTAAGTGCCGACGGTCCAAAGACCAGAAACCCCCCCACCTTCGATTGGTCACGATGGCTAAATTGGCCGCAGAAACCTTGGTCGGCATGGTGTTGTCTCTTTCAGGCATAGCGTTATGCGTGCACAGCAAAACGAAGTATTGATTCTGAACCTCTATGGCTTTTGGGGGCCGCTTTTTTTCCGAGAAGAGACAAGGTGCATGCAGGAGATCTGTGTAAACCGCTGTCTCGCTCGAGGTGCATAATGCAAGATGTGGTGTTTGGCATTTTCGGCCCATGTAGAATATGTGTAATAAATATATACAGTAGAAGCGAACAACGTGCCTGCGCCCGGCAGCTTCAGTCATCTTAACTTCTACCGTTCCTCTTGTCTCCCATCACCAGAACCTTCTTTTCCGTTGTTGTTGGGTCTCCCTGGACCTTCTTCCTGTTCAGGCGCGTCCAGCCCGCCAATGAAGAGCTAGTGATAATGCATTCCGCCGAAAAAAGAAGAGAAAGAAAGGAGAGGGGAAACATGATCGAAATGCCCGCTTCGTGAATGGTATCCTCCATGCGCCGTTTATGTCAAAGATCCGTCGTCCCCGATGCCGTCAGAAGAAACATTACTTTTTTTGGTCTTGAATCATCGAACATGCCCAGTCATCTCAACTTCGTGAGTCTTCGTCTCATGGATATCATGACGGAGAGCCTTCACGGTCGACGTGCGCGGAGCCAGCGCTGCACAGCTCGTTGACTTGGGTCCTCAGCCGTCCAGCGGCCCATTGCGGCATCTGATGCCTGCAGTTCGTTGTAGATCGCCTCGTCGGTCACGGTAGCGAGCTCCTAGGGTCATCGTGTTAGTCCAAGCCGCCCGCCCAGTTTCAGAACTCTCGATATATCCCGAACTTACAGCTCTAAGCTGTTGATCACACGCTCTCAGATGCGATTGGTTTCTCGAGTTCGGTCGAGCGCCCTGCAGAATGCCATCCCTGTTGGTAACCCATCGCTGCGCAGCAGCTTGTCGTAGGTAGATCTTTTGGCACTCGTGTCTTCTGGAGAACGCGTCAAGCAAGCATCTGCAATATCAAAGTCAGCTTGCCTGCCGAAGGATCGGCCAGAATGATGTGTCCTACTGCCTCAGCTCCGCCTTCTCCTGCTCAAGGGTCCCGCCACTTGCTTGTGGAACGCTGGTGTCGGCGGCGCAGTTGAGAATGTGCTGTCCGTCAAGGGAGCATTGGCGCAAAGCCGCCCAGCCTTCCGTGTAGTAGTCTTCCATGTTGCTGGGATCTGTGGGTGCTGCTGCGATGTAGTATTGTAATGTACGGAAATCGGAGAGCACTTCGGCAACTCTCGTTGTTCGATAGTCATTCACTAACAATAACATTAGACGCAAGCGCACCACGAGAGCCAATGCCATCCGAAACATATCGTATGGATGGACTTTGACGTATTGCAACTTACATCCGTCCATTATGGTAGTACGTAGGGTAGATTAGTACTCTTAGTAATTAAAGGAAATCTGATACGAAGGAAACAAGTCGAGTGAATAGAAAATAGATAGAAAGTGCCAGATTAGCGAACGAGAGGCTGTTACTTCCGAAGACCATGAAACACTGGATGGAGCATGATGATCGACATCAAACTTGAACGCCACGCTGTTTTCCTTTTGTATGTTCTGGACGGCCTCCAAAGGACACGAGAAACCAACCGCGAAGGTTTACGGAGCGTAGTCCGAATCAAGGTCAAGCCTGGCTCCCGTCAGGAACCATGAACCAGAACCCATGCCCGGGTCCTTCGAGCGGAGGGAGCCCCATAGGGATGCATGAGATCATTGAGAGGGTTGTGTCCAATGAACCCTTGGTTCATCTGTTCGAACACCCACGGCCCCCCAGTTCGCTGATAGGGCTAGCTGACGAATCGGAAAATACACGCCGGGGTACTGGCAGTTGGGATGGCTTTGCAAGCTCAAAGCTAGACGGAGACCCTAGCCAAGCTGGTGGCATACCCCCGGTTCCCGGCAAGATGATGCGATAGAGACACTTCTCTGGATATCCTGGAGGGCCAGGAGGCCTTGGAATGATGCCAACTTGCGTCTTGAAGGCCTGTAAGACCACGTTCCAGCCCTGGACGACTATCATAATTGACGATAGTCTGGTGTGTAAGGTGGGCAGGTCAGCATGCGGGATCATGGCTGCGGCCACTCAACATGGGCCGGACAAGGCTGCATGGGATGTGAGACCTGGGCCGGGGAGAGGGTGGGAAGATCTGGGACGGTGGGATGGAACGGGCACATGGTCTTCGTCGGCATATAGCCGGGGGGAGAACAAGATGGGATGACGGAGGAAAAAAAAAACCACAAAAAACCGACGAGCCTCCATCGAGTCCATCAAAAGCGAGTCTTTTCTCCGGTAGAATGGACAGGTCGGTGACAGGGATGCGGAATAAGGTAAGGCTGGTGGACCTTCAGCTGCATCCACACTAGACTTGGCGGCCGGAATAGGAAATGGGCTGGAGCTTTGCATGCAGTGCTGCTCCACAGCTTCGTGGCTTGACGAGGATAATGACCAATTAAACGTCGAAACTGTGACGTTTACCCACGGCTGGCACGTTTGGCACGTTTTGTTCCAGCTGAACCAGTATCGTAGAACCGTCACCCGCATTAGGCCCCCGTCCCCGTTCCCCTTTGCGACCTAGCAGAAGGCTGACTGGGAGACTCGGGAGGTGTTCTCCTTACGGCACTGGATTGCTGTGAAAAGGACTGGTCGGGAGCTTTTGGGGGCTGATATCTCCAGCTCTGACTCGGGACGCCATCTTCCTAGAGAACCGTCATCCATGTCTCGGCCTCGTGAACTCTGCAGCCCCCAACAAAGGAAATATGGCCTTGCATTTGCACAGCATTTCTGACTTCGGGTCGCTGAGCAATCAGGAGCTCTCAATGGACCAACCTGCAATTATTAATGTCCTTAATCATCTGCAATTTTTGCTTTTTTGGAGAAGTCGACTCACTTAATACCACTGGCCGCCCTATGAGACCGTTTCGCGACACCTTGACAGCCTCATGGGAGTATCCGACGCCCGTTGTTTGATACTACTCCAACAGTTTGACCGGGCCACACGAGTGCTCATATTTTCTGCTGTCTCATATCCCCTCGTCAAGGTAATGTCCGGCGCAAACTCCGTGAGTCACGGTATCCGCTGGCCTCGGGCAAGCCATGACTTTCCCAGCATGCCTACTCGATCAGCACTCAGCCAAGCCACAAATTGCAGCACGAACGCTTTCGTATCGATAGCTATTGGTTTGATCATGGCAGCATCTTCCAAATGTCTTGATCTATAGTGGTTGGTAGGCTCGCTAGTAGTACAATCGTGTGCGGGGATCTCGGTTCGTGGGACTTTAAGCTTGATTCTCATCTGCAATATCCCGCAAACTTCATGCGTGATCTGGCCTGTCAACGCATCAGTGCCACTTTGGACTGAGCATCCGCCGCACCAACCATTCCCAGCTTCCACCGGCCGGAATGTGTCTCTTCCACCTCAGTCCTTCTCCGCAATCGCCTGTAACCGTTCGTCGATCTCATCTTCGGTCAGGATGCGGAAGCCAGGATCGGTGCCCTCCTTGCCGTCAGCACGAGGTCCTCCAACAATGCCAATTTCGATCTCGCCCTTCTTAAAGTCCATGCTCAGGACAGTGCTGAGCGTCGTGATAGCGAGCTCAACAACTTCCGTCCAGTCACCAGGGGCGTGCTCCTTGTTGCGCAGCTTCTTCTCCAGGTGGTTGAGAGCCTCCTGCTGCTTGGGGCCGGCCGCAGTACCCTTGTAGCCAATGTAGTATCCGGCGGGATCGCACTTGAACAGCTGAGGACCGAACTCAGAGTCCAATGAGATGAGCGTCGTCGCAACACCGTACGGGCGCATGTAGGCCTAGACCACTCGTCAGTTCTTGTTCTCACCGCCACCTCGAAGTTTGCACTCTGCTTACTCTTTGTGTGTAGACCTGGCTGATGTTGGCCAGCCTCTTTGCCAAGGCATCGGCGGGCATTTCGTAGCCGTACTTGTAGCGGAACTCTGCTGCCTCGCCCTGGGCACGCTGGGAGAAGGCGCGGGCATCGGCGATGGAGCCCGTGATCACGCATCCGACAGATGGAGAGAGCTGGAAGAGATGGGAGACGGAGGCGGGGTCGATGAGTTTATCCTTGTATCTGGGTCAGTTCCTCTCCCTCTACGGGCAACTCAGCTGATTCTCGACCTACAGGGACCTTCTTCTGAGACAGGACAACGGCGCAGTCCTTGCCTCTGACGCCTATCGACATAATGTTGGCGGCTGTGATTGCCTTGAAGGCATATTCTATTCAGCGTCGTCTCGTTAGTCCCATCGACTACTTCCAGCCCAAGTCGTTTCGAGCCCCGCATGACGGCATCACCACAGGGAGGGGCAATCGGTTCGTAGGGAAGGAGACTGCACATACCGACTTGGTACAATCTTCCCTGCTCTGAGAAGATCGTGATGTGTCGGTCGTAAGCTGAGCCACCTGAGTGAGGGAAGACATGTTAGCTATGGTGGGCATTCACAAGTGCTGAGGCTAGCTATCGTAGGACGGACGTACCCGACATCTTGGCGGTGTTGCTGTGGTTGTATTGATCAAATTACGTCGAAGAAAATCGTGGCCGGTCGTCAGTAGCTTGAGAGAGTCGTTGAAGGGTGGAAGGTGGAGGTGGGTGTCGTCAATGAAGTCGGGGTTGAGCTCTAGCGGAGCTCTTGGATGTCGACGCGTTTGCAGGAGCTTGCCTGGAGCAGAGGCAACGACAGCGGCGGGAAGCTCCCGGCCTGGGCTGGAAGGCTGAGTGGATGCCTTGCACCCGGGCTCGTTCTAAGGCAACAACTCTCCCACGACGGAAAGCTTACATAAGGCTGCTCCGACTGCTGCTCACCACAGCACGGGCTGAGACCAACACTGAAGCGGCACTTTCCAGTACGTACACCAATTGACTAGGGAGCAGCGGGGCACCCCTGTCCAGTGGGAACGACAACGCATCTCTGCTACCAAAATTTTGGCTGCGCAGTATTCAGAGCCAGAGAAAAAAAAGTATTGGGACCATTCCCGATACTCTCTTTTCAAGTGTCAAGCACCACCCATTGCGCCCAATAGGACTGCGGTATACGAGGCCACAGCATTCCAATCGAATAAGCCAATCGCACGTGGAAAACATCGAAGCGGCCCAATTCTGCATTTGTTGCTTGTCTCGTCAGGCCAAACGCGCAGAAACGCAAATTCCGATCCAGCAGCGGCCCGAGGAAGCAGCAGCAGCAGCAGCACCCCTCCCTTCAGAGAAAATCTGATAGACAAAGCCGGTCACAGCAAAGAGCAAAAAAAAAAAGAGGGTGTGCCCGCTGCCCGTCATGTCCTCCGCACCAAACGTCCCGGCCTGGAAGCGATTGGGCCTCAAGCTCAAGCAGCCCGCATCCGGCGCAGAGATTGGCGGCCCTGCTCCTGCCGAGGGATCGAAGCCCAACGGGCAACAACACCACGACCGGGACGCCAGCGGTCCCGTCGTCAACGCCGCCTACGCCTCGCCGGCCGCCGCCGCCGCCGCCAAAAGGAAACGTCTCGATCACCCTACTCCTCCCCCTGCGTACAACTCCAACTCCCCCTTCAAAAGGACCCGCACCGACGGCGACAGCAATGCAACTCCGACCCTGAGGAAGCAAAAGTCCGTGACCTTTGCCGACGACGTCAAGAAGACCACCACCGCCGTCGACCCCAAGAAGAACAAGAAGAAGAGCAACAAGCCGGCCAAGCCAGCGACCCAGCAGCCGACTGCCGATATCAAGCCCTCCCTTGAGTACCTCAGGACTTGGAAGTCCGCCCGCCAGGCGTGGAAGTTTAACAAGAACCACCAAACGATCCTGATGAAGCGGATATTCCACGCCGATGCGATCCCGTCGAGCGATATTGGCACCTTTTACGAGTACATCCAAGACCTCAAGGGCTTCACCCGGTCGAGGCTGCGGGAGACGGCGGCGGAAGTCAAGAAGGAGGACGCCGAGAAGGGCAAGGCTGCCTTCCCCGTAGGCACGCCGGACATGGACTCGAAGCAGTCAGAGTACGAAAAGGTACTCGCTGGCCTCATGCAGCTCGGCAATGGCGCTGGCTCCAAGAGGAAGCGCTTCGACGAGGCCGGCTTCGTGTCCAAGTCTACAGACGTCGCCATTACCCAGAGGGTCATCAAGCGCATGCGTGCCGAGACGATATTGGAGGAGCTGTCTGACAGCGAGGACAGCGATGCCATGACCATCGATACCGAGGAGACTGCCCCTCCTCCCCAGGCGGCTGCCTCTCAGGAGGATGAGTCTGCTGACAAGCGGGTCAAGCTCAACGATGGCACAACAAAGGAGAAGGCACCCCGCCGTCGCAAGAGACGTACCAACGTTGACGAGTCGAGCTCTGAGGAATCGTCTGATTCAGACTCTTCGGACTCGGACAGCGATAGCGATTCCGAGGACGAGTCGGACAACGCGAGTGAAGTACAGCGCCAGGCTGCTCAGCGAGAGGCTGAGACTTCGAGTGAATCTTCCTCGTCGTCGGAAGAGGAGGACGATAGCAGCGAGGATGATAGCGAGGAAGAGGAGGAAGCCCCCAAGAAGCGGACGGGGTCGAAGAAATAGTGACACCATTTAAGAGTCTATCCCAGTACACCACCTTGATGTCAGGATATA